TAGCGACCAAAGTTTATTTTTGCCCCGAAAATTTAGCATATATTTATATCTACGATATAAAAAAATAATAATCGAGATTTAAAAAAATAAACCAACGAGTCGTACATATCGATCGAATTTTCTGTATAAAACGCGTTGTTTCGTAAAAAAAACATCAAAAATGTAGCGTCACATATTTTTGTTCATTTTGCCTTCGAAACGAGATTGGGACCCACTTCAGATAATCGCGTTTCGCGCAATTGGAAAAGCAATTCAAACGGACTTTGTAATCTACCTGCGATGAAAGCATGTATATATATATATACATATATATTTATATCGCTGACCGCAAACTGTCGGAGTAAAAAAAATTCGAGCAATCTCCCTCGCGCGTGCATATACGCACGATACGTTTGATATACTAATTATTTAATCTGCATTGCATTAATAATACGATTCGGCGAGGTAGGCGAATTGGGGACGGTTTCCTGAGTCGAGACGAGTAACGAGTTACTTCCTATTCGGCTGTGTGTAACTGGTTTCGTGTATCGCTTGGAACGAAACGAGTTGCATCGCAAAAATTACATCATCCGATTGCAACTTACATCAAACGGTACGCTGCTTCCTGGAAAACGTGCGTCCGTGTAATTAACCGGAAAAAAATAGACGAATTAAAGTGGAATTAACTGTACGACGTATACTTTTTGTAGTGCAACTTCGCAAAATGTCTATTTCTGCGTTGATTTGCGCGAACATTTCTTTCCTGCTTTTACTACGTAAAAGATAGAGAGGATATAATTATCGCAGCAAATGTGAAAAGAAATCAAATAAAAAGCACAGTAATTGTGAGATGGAAATAACGAAGTTGATTTCATTAACTTTGGGTAACTTTAATGTTTATCGTTTTCTTTAAATCCAAGAATAAAAGGAATTAAGAGCATTTTACCAAAAATACATTCAATGTACCTAATCAAATTTCTCATCTTTGAATCATAAATCTAAAATTTTTGGACATCTTTCCGCGTCTTTTTGTAACTAAAGCTTCCTAAATTGGATCATTTTAAAATTACTTTTACAATGAAGATAAATATCATCAATGCAGTTGAATATTTGCAATGCGAAATAAAATATATAAAAGCTTCTAGAATTGACAATTTTATTCACAAGCGAAATAAACGATCAATAATTCTTTCAGAATTGTATGCTTTTAAATACTATAACGCAGTCGAATATTTTTAATGCAAAATATGAAAGGATTCGCTCTAAAATACCTCTGCTCTGACGAAAGAAAACGACTGTTTGTTAGAAAAATCGAAATTGGAAGGCGCAGAAGATGTAAAATATTTCGAGTCAGTCCCTAATTTCGAAGATTAAAAATTCCAATGTTATACAATAACTTAAAATTGATAATGAACTCCCCCATCGATTGCTTCCAAGTCAAGCAACTTTCCCCCTTCGCGGAAGACTTTATAGAACTTGGGACACCATCGCATGGCTTCTGAGCCATGTCGTGTAAGATTAGTCGCCAGAATCGAGCGTGTAGGTTGGATACGTTCGCGTTGCGAGGTAAGGCTGTGGCAGCTAGTCACGTGGTTCGCCACGGGGTCTAAACGAGGTTAATCGGCAGACCAGCAGCGTCGGCGCAATGACGACGAGCAGACACGAGCTTCGTCGTCTCTTCCGTCCGTCTCTCTCTCTCTCTCTCTCTATGTCTATCCGTTCCTCTTTCGCGTTCTCACCCTTTGCACTTTGGCCCTCCTTAGCCGAGTCGCGTGATTCGACAATAAGGATAAAAGTGCGAGCTCCCGGGTAGCGAATTCCAGAAATTCAAATATGCGCACACACAAAGTCGCGTGGAATATTCAAACTTCCGTACGCGTGTGCGTGTTACTCATTAATGCGCCCGCGTGATCATCCGCCAGTCTGCGCTGTGGTAGCTCTGCGTGTTGCGCGTATTTTGAAGCGGCATACGTATATATATATATATATATATATATATATATATATGTATATATTTTTGCGAAAGAGCGCAACCGGCGCGCGCGCGAAATCACGTGCTTTTGCGCGACCGGCGAACGACGACGAGCGGACGTAGAAGGCGTCTCTCGCGCTGCCAACCAGGTATACAGATGCCAAAAAATGAGCGTTTCTAGCCGTTTCGCGCGTGTAAAAATTCTCCTTCGAATCCGGCGCGAATCAGGGATGAGGTGACAGGATTGGAGAACGGAGAACCGAAGTATATCGGCGCCGAAAAGGTCAATACTATCCTATATCCTATCCATGGTAAAATTTGTCGGAGCTACTTACCGATCAGCGGAAATATGCTGGGCTGGTCGAGCAGCGACTTGAGACTGTTTTCGACGAGAGTGGGAGAGGAGCGGTCCTTGTCACTCATTTCACGCACTGCGCCACGAAGCCTATTTAGCCGCACACCTCGGGGGCACCTATATTGCCGCGGCACACACGCGCGAGGACGCACTCTCGATGGCACACACAGCCCCGCGCAGAAATATATATATATATATATGTATATATATATATATATATGTGTGTGTATAGATAGAGGAGAGAAGAAGGCACGGAGCGGATCAAAACCAAGACAGGCAGACAGATAGACAGACACAGGCAGGGATGTGTAGGCGTTATTTCCTCGCGATGACACACGCGCGACGAGAGTGCCGGAGTGCCGAGTGCCGTCTCGCTGCTCGAGACTAGAGAGACGGAGGCACGATCGAAAAAAATTGGGATGTACGAGACGGGACCGGACCGGTGTTGCGCCCGCGGATAGGAGAGGCCTATCGCCCGAACCTCTCTCTCTCACGCCGTCACGTTGCCGTCTCCCGCACTCTCGGGTATATCCCTATATCCTCTCTTTCCCTGTACCCGCTCCTCTGGGCGCGTTAAAATAAACGCGGAGCGCTGGCCCCGTGGACTCTTGGCGGTGCTCTTGAAAATCAATCTAAAAGTAGCTCGCCTCGTGGCGCGATCTCCTGGCCGACTGGCGGACCGAGTGCCGTTTTAAGCCTGCCGACGCCTGCCGCACTGATAACGAGCACCCGGCCCGAGAGTGCTCGCCTTGCCTGTCTCAGTCAGCGTTATCAAGCCGTCTGCGCGCGCAGCCCCGCTCTCTCGTCCGCATTAACGGGGCCGCAACGCGACGCCGCATCGCGAAACCCCAGAAACAGAGACGTCGATCGCTGCCGAATTGCTCTGGAGACCCTTTACAGACTCCTGGTACTTTGGTTCTCTTCGTCCTGGTCCTTTGCATAATAATCCTAATAGACGATCAGTTAGGTGTTCTTGTATGTATCGAAGAGTTCCAAACGTCAAATAATAATAGCGTTCAACGTCGAGAATTAGGAGTTAGGAGCCTTGAATGTGTGTTGTGTACAGACGTATCCGAAGATACGTGCCGGGTTTATGATTTTTGTGACCGACTCCGATAAGGTGGACCTTTACGAGGACGCGCTCGGCAGATATTGGGGTCATCTGTGGTCATCTCCTTCAGATTTCTGTCCCAAACAAGATTAGAGAGATGATTCGATTTGGTAGAATCGACTTGGTATTATCGCGCGTTGCGTTGAGGAATACATTATGAATGAATATCGTTATATTTCTTCGGTCAAATTATTCTGCGATTTTATTTAGACCGCACTTTAAACGTTAACATGCCGCAAGAAAAATTAAACGCTCAAACTTTGTCGAAAAGTTCCCTGTTTTAATATCACAATACTATATCATCCATTTAATAACAAAAAAATCTAACATATCATAATGATTTACTTGAAAGCTCGAATTGCTTGAATGAATCGAATCTATATTACATTAATATTAATATATTTAGCTATATATGCTTCGATATCGATTTGCTTAGAATCGATTTGTAACACACGGTTATTTAAAAAAAAAAAAAAAAAAAAAAAACTTTTTGTATGTAATAATCTGTCTCGGTAAGAGCTATTACTTCACCTAAATGAAAGACACTTAAATCTTCGTAGATAAGATAAGTCAAACTCCTATCGAATGATAAGCTCATTCGGTTTACATGCATGCATGTCTGGTTGCCATCAGCTTTATATCTCCCTGCTAGATGTCTGTAGCGCTCAGTTTCTCTCTTATAAAGATAAAATTTAAAGGGAATATATATATAATACTGCGTAAAAAAGTAATCGCGAGATAATCAAATTCCAAAAAATAAATTTAAAATATTCGTATTTTTTGTCTCTTAATGAATTACGCAACGGTGAAAATCATTAAATATGTAAAACTCGCAGATCCTCATATTCAATATGATTATATTAAAATGTAATAATAAGTATATAAAAATATTTTTGTAGAGAAAAATAAAAGTAAGATAGGAAAAATACAAGAGGTCAAAACACAGTGGCATGATATTCAGCTGTATTATATAATTAGAATGAAAATGTGACAAATTACGCACAATGAGAAATATACACAGAGAACAGCATATTATCAATTCTAAATCTATGATAGTCTCATATAATAGATCACGCGTTATTTCATTACCTAAAGAGATATGTTGCCCTTGTGGATTACAGTACGCAGTCTTATATAATTATACAAAAAAAAATAGAGTTGTAAGATTTATAAAGTTTTATCTATCAATTTCGAAGAATATCAAAAATTTGAATATGATCGAGAAATAAATTAAACCAATCATTATTATCAATAATCGCATGCGAGCAAATCGAGATTGCAATAGTTAAATAACATAGTTGGGGATAAACTAAAAATATCTTACATGCATAAGAAACGGAGACAATAATGCAAAATATAAATTTTTGGAAAAAAATACGACTGATTTTAATTTGTCAATTAAAGTAGAAAAATTTCTCTTTTTGCGCGTATCTTTCTCGCATTCTTTCTCTTTCGAATCTAAATTATATTACGCTCATTTAATGAAATCAAATTACATAAACTACGAGACAGTAGTATAAATTATTAAAATTACTTTTTTGTTAACTTTCAAAATTAGACGAAATCAACATGCGAGTCAAATAACAATTTAATTAGTTTATTAAATAATGACTAATTAAACAATCGGTGAAACGAAAACGATTGTCATTCGCACTTAACATGTATCAGGCATTTCCAAGCTCGCCAATAAATAATTTTCCAATGAAACGAACAAAACTGCAGTGAACAAGGTGCAGTGTCATCGATAATTGCGCAGAGTTTGCAGACGGGCAAAGTTTCATCGATACTGATACGAAATTCGCGAAACTACAAGAGATATGGCTGATAACGAAATCTACGGTTCTTCTTTTCTACACTTATTAGAATGGCTTCCGCATTATCTACGAAATACGCAGGCGTATATTATAAACTCCTTATTTTCTAAATTTTAATTAAAATGCATTCGACTAAAACGAATCGCAGCTGCTACATCAATACTACGCCTCTACATATCTTATCAACGTAAGAATAGAGACCGCGCGAGATTCCATGTAGAGAAGTTATTTACAATCTTACCCGAGTACTGCTTACTTGAATATTCTCTATATCGTTCTATCTAAACATTATTCCTGAAAATCGATCATGTAAGTCGGGGGCTCGTGATTTCGAGCGAATCGAGTCTGCGAAATTCCGGGGAGACCACGACGATCGTAGAGTGCGGTGGGATCGAATTCGGCACGATCGGATCTTCCACGGGAGAGAAATCAAACCCAACAGACGCTGACGGACTCGGTCGCGGTTTGCGGCGACCCGCCAAAACTCGCCCGATGATGCTTGAAGAGCGCCTGGATCTCGGCCGGGGTCGAGGACCATCGTCGGTGTCTGGCCTTGTCGAGGGGCACTTCCGGCAAGCCTACCTCGGTGTGGCAGCCCTTGACGGGGATGATCGGTACTGCCACCGAAGGCGGCAGACCGACCTCCTGGAAGGAGCTGATCGAGAAGAAGCCGCTCTCGCCCTCGGCGCTGCTCACCGGGCTGCTGGCCGGCTTCACCTTGGAAGAAGTCTTGCCGGTTGTCAGGCTGCCCGGACTAGATTCCTTCTTCTCCAGCCGCTTCGCGCTTCGACTGAGCGTCGAGGAAGGCGTGTCGTTCGACGTAGTTCCGTTCGACGGGATGGCGAGCGCGACGGTGTCCTCCTCCTCGGTCGTTTTACTGCTACTCGAGTTCCAGGACGCGGTGTCGGGCGATCTTCTCACGCTCGGCGCGAAGGCGCGTTGCAGATCTCGAGCGAACTCGTTGACGGATGGTTTGAAAAAACTCGCCGATCTACTGTCGTCCTGCTGACCGCTACTGATGGCTCCGTTTCCGTGATCGTTGCCGGGAGGATAGGTAGCTTCCTGCAGCATCGTCGAATTGGCAAAGTTACCGCTAGGTAGGGACAGAGACGGGTCGTGATGACGGTGGTCCACTGTCGGGGATGGGGAAGATCCGTTGTCCTCGATCGGCGTCACTCTCGCGAGATCGGGCTCTCGCATCGCCAGCAAGGATTCGACGGTTCTCAGTAACCTGTGCCGATACATTAATATTTATAATTTTTCCATATGTAAGTCTCGAGATTAATTTATATATGGAACTTTGTGATCTCAAATCAAGAGATACAGTTCCGAATAATTAATTTTTCGTGCTTTGGCTCTGTTGTCCGATTTAGAAAACATCATATTTATATTCTTTATATCGAGAGCCGAGAAAAATATTTATTTCTGAGATTAATATTTATATTGTTTTAATAAAAAAAAAAAAAAAAGATAATGATATATCAATATATTAATAATCGAAATATTTTAATATTTAATTAATAAAATAATTGAACGATTAATAGTAAAAGGGCTAAACAAATGAATTTAATCTGGGACTCTTTCGCACCTAAACGCTTCCTGAGACAGCTTCTCCGGCGGTATCTCGTCCGGGTTCACCTCCGTCTGCTTAGGTTCGCGATAAGCGACATTTTCGGGAACGTGATTCGTTTTGTTGAGATCCTGGGGTGGTTTGACGCGAGGCGAGGTGCAGTGCACCGGGTCATTCCTTCGCAGAACGGACCAGGTGAACTCGCGGAAGCAGATAGCGTTCGGCGTGCTGATCTGCGTGACCGATTTGGCGCGGGTGAACGGCGAGGACGTCGACGACGAGGACGACGGCGTCGCGGTGCCGCGATTCGGCGATGGATCCGCGTTCACCACCGTGTGGACGCTGCGACTACGCGGCACGCGCCTCTTGTCCTTGATGTTTTCCTTGCTGTGCAGGATCTCCAGGCTCCGGTGAACCCGGCCCAAGAATTGGGCGACCTGCTCCATCGTAGAACGATACATATGCCTGTTCGACTCGACCTGCGAACGAACGAAACGAATGTTTCACTCTTGTCGCCTCGTTCAATCTATGGATACCAATCGAGGAATTATTTCATTTGTAAAATATCACACGGAGAGAATTATCTATAATAGAATTTTGGTATTGGACAAATTTATAAGTTTCTCTGATTAAACATTTAGCACAGTAAGAAATATTCATATGCGTGTACATGGTAAAATTGAAATGATCAATATTAACATATTTTTTACCTTATTGTGGTAGATATTAATTACCATGATTTTCAGGGTAAATTCTAAAAGAAAAGTCTCTCTGTGTAGGGATGAGTAATAAAAAATCTTTGGGAAAGACTAGCATGACGGTTTTAAAGTTTAGGTTTTTTCGCTAAATCGGCAAATGTGCGTGCATAAGTTCATTCATGAAATGATAATGAAATTATAGGAAAAGTTTCGGCTAGGCAAAAATCGCGAATTATCGAGGGAGAAAACTAGTTGACCGGTTGTTACGTGACGCGATATCGAATAACCGGAGCGAGGTAAACCGGTTGCGATCATCTTATCGATCGCTTCCTCCTCTTCCTCTTCTTCTTCTTCTTTTGAAGATTTTCAACTTTTCGCACGATTACGAACCTGTTTGACCTGCCATTGGAGCGTGTCGACTCGCGCTTGAAGAAAGACGTTTTGCAGGAAGGCGCTCTGCAACCTCCGGTTTTCCTTTTTCAGCAATTGGCATTGCTACAACAAGAAAGAAAAAGACTTGTGTTATTAGCACATCTCCTCGAACCCTCAGACTTTAAACATTATATTACGATTGATTGTGATTGAATACCGCATCAGCGACGAATAATTTGGAGAATATCAGGAACTCTTATAATATCAATTAAAGGAAGAAAAAAGATTACAGAAAATTTTTTCGACGAATATACCTTCTCGAAAAATTTTCTAATAGAGAGCGGATTTTATGGATCCACTAACTTTGCCAAGTATTTCATTTTATTCTTAAGAAGAACTCGTTCGTTTCTAACGCACTAATAACGATCTGCTGCACAGAGAGAATTTTCTCTTAAAACTTACCTTGAAAATGATGATAATCGTGGGACAATATGATATTGGAAAAATTGTATAAGTTTCTTTGATTAATATTGACCACAATAAAAAATAAAATTAATATCTGCCACAATAAGATTTAAAATATGTTCGACTAATTTTATCATGTAAAAATTACTACATACTATTCATATTTTTATTGCGATAAATATGAATCGGAGAAGCTTTTATAAAAAAATTGTAATACCATATATATATTGTCCCACGATTACCATGATTTTCAGGATAAATTCTAAGAGAAAATGCTCTCCGCGTGCTTAAAGAGTAATTGAGAAGTGGAGTAATGAAGAAAAATGATTGAAACGGGTTTTCGAAAGAGAGAAAGAAAAAGATAGAGACAGGGACAAGTTGCGGGGCCACTTTTCCGAAATCGCGATTCTACAGAGGATGCTTCGAGATTAGATGCAGATCGAAGATCTCGCGTGATGCGATAGCTAGCGGTCCACGTGCGTCGGGAAACGAGTCACTGGTTGGACGAGGTACAAAACGCATCAGAAAACGCGAACGTCGATAGCTTCCCGCGATTAATCACGGGACGTTGCTGCTGGCGTGCGAGCGTGTTATTACGAATTTTACGCTATTCCGCTCATTGCGAAGAGAGCACTTATGCCGATTAATAACACGCCCGACGTTATAATGGCGGCGTTTTTAAAAGATATTCCACGTTAAACGAGCTATATAATGGGAATCTTTGATGTAATCCATCGCGCGCCGGTTAATTAATTAAATTCAATCGTAATCGGCATAGTCCTACAAACCTCCTTCTACCGACTTTCCTGCTTTTTTTTCTCCCCCCGATATATATTCGCACGATTTTCTACCGTCTTTTATCATCCACATACATCGAGTAATCAATTTTCTCGATTAATTTCTTTCCGAAGTAATATCTTCATATAATTCTTGTTATTATATCGTAATCTAATCAACAGAAATCATACTGCCTCTTCGTGATAAAATTCACCATAGTTTTGCATCCTGATTTATATAAATTAATTTAGCAGAATGGAGGCCTTCGATTTAAACGATGTTTCATGTCGGACGCGATGATTGATAAACCGATTTTTGTCGTTTGAAAATATCACCGCGCCGATTAATTATCTTTTACGAGCGATCAATTATCCTTTCGTGACTCTCGGTCAAGGATCGCCAAACTAGCGAGAAAAATAAGGATTTGCGAGACGAAAAAAAATCCACAGCGACGACTATTAATAACCGACGAAGCGGCGATTCATTATATCTTCGCATAGATTATTATGCAACCTTAACCGAGAGAGACTGGAGGAGATATTCTCCATATCTTGGCGTGGGATATTGGCCGGCGAATAATGTTGTCGAGTTTCCGAGAGAACGATGCTGAGCGATCCATAAATCAGAAGGCATTGAGAAAAGGTCAGGAAGGAGGGATCTCCGATTTGAAACGAAGCACGCCTCATTTTCCACGCGTTTTCCACATTTTCCGCGTCTAAACGACGACGGAAAATTGTATCTCGTCCCTGGCCGCGATGAAAAAAATTGCGTTATTAATCCTCTCGGATCCTATGATTTTATCCTCCTTGCGCGGCGTTTCTGCCTTCTTTTTCCACGCTTAATCGATACACACCGTGCAGTAGTTGTTGGCCGCACGCAACGAGATACCGCACGATAGCATCCAGCGGAATCTATCGATTCCGCATCTCGCGAAGAATTTAATGAAACCGCGCCGGCTAAAGTCGAATAGGACGGAGGCAATTTTCTATCTAATTTTCGATAGCTATCGCACGGCACCGAGGCATCGTTGGGAGGATCATGATGGTTGCAGTTATTAACGGAGAACCGTCCTTCGAGGATAACTCGTTACAAGGATCGCCTTTGATTACATCCCGGAATATGTTCGCTTTCGAAGCTCGCAGATGCAGCGACGCCTTGACACAGTACTCCATCTCGTAATAGTATATTTCTAATCAATTTCAAATCTAACATTTCTCCTCCATTTTTAACCCTTAGTCCCGACGGTTCTTTTCGGCACCTTTAATCCCGACTCATGGGTCGTTTGCGTCTTTGCGTTATTTGGATCAGTAAAAACGCTTTAAAAAATCTGAAGAAATTCATGGAGCTTCTTGCAACCTTCAACTTGAAGTCCCAATCATATATAATAATATTTCGATAAAAATTATTTTTTTATACAGTTTGTTATTAAGAAATGGAGGTACCTAACGGAGGTACGAAATTTCGTTTGGGTCGCAAACGACCCATGAGTCGGGACTAAGGGTTAAGATCTCGCAACGATGATGAATGGAAAAATCGCGCGAGAGAACCCGATCGCACGCGTAAAAACAAACTTTCGTATACGAGATTGCGCGCGGCGTCGCTGAAACGACTAGAAACGAAGGAATATCGTATATAGTGAATAATTCAGGCAGTGACCGTAGCGAGTGTGACGTCACGATGGAGTATTCAGCCGGTGGACTGTTCAGGCTGAGCGACCATGCGTGACCCCATCCGGCCGTCGATGAAAAATTTCAACTTTCCGTAAATATACCCTCACGCACACGCGTGTCGGCAAGAAACGTGACGGAGGAAATATCGATTAGGCGAAGGGAAACAAAAAATTCGGGCAAACCGGCGCGCGCTTATCACGAAATCCAACTTTGTCGTTCCTCGGTGATTTTTTCGCACTGAAAATTGATCGCCGTTCGTGTTACATTTGTGTAACAGCGTTTAGTTTCGACATTTTAGTCCTTTGTATTTACAAAGGAGACGTAATGCACGTAGTGACGTATATGCTCGTCGCGAAAATCTGATCTAGACGCGATACTCTCCTCGTATACGAGGTCTTTCAACATCTTTCATCCTGGCCTCGTTATCGGTTGGAGGCCATCACCGGATATCTCGCAATAAACACCGTCTTTTCTCTCGCTATTGTATGGAAATACGCTAAGGAAGAGAGGTCTCTCTCGTCATGTGTTCTCTCCTCGTGCACGCAGAATCTACCTGTTTGCGATTACAAAGGACGACCGAAATAGAAATCGAAATACGACATTCATTAGCGACGACATCGCCAAGTCCGCCCATTGTTCCGATATTCGCACGGTTCCTTAAATAGTTCAACAGTCAATGTCAACTGTTTATCGGGCTCGATTAAAACACCGACATTCGAGATTTTATCTTCTCTGCGCCTCTCCTCTCTTTTATCATCATCATTCAGTCGTTCGAAGATTTATAGGAAATAATTTAACAAAAAAAAAATACTCTAACAAATCTGTCTTATTATATGCAGGAAAGGATATATTTACAATTAAAAATTACAGAGAAAAAATGCTTTATTATAAATGCTTTATAATTTTGAAAAAAAAAAAAAAAAAAAAAAAAAAACATTTCCAAGTCTATAAATCTAAAGTAATTTCTCGGAAGAAGTTATACTATTGAATTTTTGCTTCGTCTAAAAAAGCGTTTAATTAATTAATATCTCCTTATACATCTCCGTCCTCTCTTATACGTTCTCTTCAAGTTCATTAGATTTAATTGAGTCTTAATTAAGATGAACTACGCGCGTAGTTGCAACTCGCGTTCCTCGAATCCTCGGTCCTTTCTTCGCGTTCGCGGATGAAACGAACGGTCGTTCGCGAATTGCATCGCTCCTTTCACTTATTATACGAGCAGCGGATGCCTTCGCGACCCACGCGCGAAACAAGAACGGACTCGCATCATGCAAATATCGAAATACGTATTGTCGAGTATTTTCCTCCGCTCGTTCAAAAATCAATCTAAACTGCCTGACGCGTGAGAATCGCGTTTTACTAATCCATGCGAGGCGCTCGTCATTAAGAGTTTAACGCCGAGTTTCATCTGACGTGGGAGATTTTCACACGCGGAAGGATATACACAGACACATACGCAGAAAGTAGTGCGGAATATTTATCGCCCGCGTTGGCGTATAGATATTCGTTTCTGATTGCGCCAAGATTAATTTGTAATTTATACGCTGCGCATTTCTCGGAAGTTCATTATTTAGGGAAAAATGTGTGTGCTGCAACTGAGAAACTAGTCTATCCGCCCGCACATAACGCGATTTTTTGCTTTTCGCGAACTTCCGCTATTCTCGGATGCTTGGCATTTCTGCCGGGATGCAGAGAAAATGCAATTAATGAAGGTTTCGCTAACATATTAAACCAGGAGCTTCGCGAAGTAATACTTAATTTGCGCGGTCGTTATTGGAATTGGAGTAAAATTGCAGCGTATCTCGTAAATCCCTCTTCCGCATGGGCGTTCGCAGGATTTTTTTCAAGTGCGGGCATGATTAAATTTTGTTGTTTCTTATATATGTGCGTTTTATTCTCTTAACTTTTTTAAATTTAATTTTTTGTCATTTTCATTTTTTTGTATTAAATTCCAGTGTTTATTCAAAATGAGAGCAAACGCTTCATTTTCTTACTGATTTCAAGCCCTTTCATGCCCTTCCATCCTCTATGTAGAAGCCGCATAGAATGCATCGTTCAGCCTCGAACGAAAGGAGCTTAATTCTTCGAGCGTCAGCTTGTGAGAAAGCTTTGCCCAGAACGAGTCTTGAGAGAAGCGAGAAAGAGAGAGAAAGGTGGATCTCGTCCTTCGAGATTAACTCGTAGACTCCTTCGTGCCATCGTAAATATTCC